GAGTGCACAAATTTTTGTGCACCGGGCCTCTAGTATGCATATAATTCTTTGATTACTTTTAGAGGGAAAGAAAGAATAATTCATCGTTATGGTAGAGCTTGTTTTCTGATGCTGGATTAGATGTAGTCCAGGGATAGGCAAATTTTAGTATTAATATTGGAAAGAGGTGAGGGAAAGTGCTTGCTTGGGATCATAAAATCCTATATAATAAAAGCCTAAGATGCTAAGTGTCCAGTCGTCTGGCCGGCCATTCAACCAATCAAAGCGTAATGTGCTAATGATATGCTAAGGCTGCTCTACCACTCACTATGACATGCACTGACCATCAGGGGAAGACGCTTCGACCAGTAGGTAAGCTTGCTGCTGGGATCCGGCCTATCTGGACTGAGCCAGATGGGCTGGACATGCCCTGGAACCTCCCGCAGTCCCTCCCCAACTGGCCAACCTCCCACGTCCCTCCCTGGCCCCGATCATGCACCAGTGGGGTCCTTTGGCCTGGCCTGCGCCCTCTCGCAATCCAGGACCCCTCGGGGGATGTCCGACTGCTGGTTTAGGCCCGATCCCTGTGGGCCTAAACTAGCAGTTGGACATCCCTCTCGCAATCCGGGACCGCTGGCTCCTAACTGCTGGCCTGCCTGCCTGATCGCCCCTAACCACTCTGCATGCCTGCCTGATCACCCCTAACCACCTCTGCCTGCCTGCCTGATGCCTCTAACTGCTCGCCTGCCTGATCACCCCAAACTGCTCACCTGCCTGCCTGATCACCCCTAACCACTCTGCCTGCCTGCCTGATCACCCCTAACCGCCTCTGCCTCAGCCCCCACCACCGAGGCTTCGTCTGGAAGGATGTTTGGCTGTCCGATCTAATTAGCATTATTACGCTTTTATTATTATAGATTAACTTAGGTTGGCACCAAGCCCAGACCTGAGGCCTTGAAGCTCAGTGGTTTTCTGACTAGTAAAACTGTAGTACAGTTTTGTTTGTTTGTGTGTTTTACCCTTTACCTTCAGGATTTAAGTAGATTCTATGTGGTCTAGTCATGTGTGTTCTGAGCAATGGTCAAACCACATGGGACATAGCATATTCATTCATTTTAGCTCATGGTGACTTTATTTTTTACAGGCTTAATTTTAGTATACTTCAGGGATGAAAAAAAGGGTGGTGTTAAGTCCTTGATCATGGAAATTCATTTTGAGAATCTTTTTTATATATGTATTTTTAAATTTTTTTAAAACTATTTTTCATTATTATTTATTTTTAATCCTCACCTGAGGATATTTTTCCATTGATTTTTAGAGAGAGTGGAAGAGAGAAGAAAAGACAAATATTGATGTGAGAGAAACACATCGATTGGTTGCCTCCTACACGCACCCTGACCAGGGCCTGCACCAGGGAGGAGCCTGCAACTGAGGTATGTACCCTTGCCGGAATCGAACCCTGGACCCTTTGGTCCACAGGCCAACGCTTTATCCACTGAGCCAAACCGGCTAGGGCTGTTTTTTAATTTTTATTAAAAACTCCTATCTAAGGAAAGAAACCAGACGCAGGGATCTTTCTATAAGCTACTTAAGAGTTTCTTGCTTTTATCATTTTTCTTTGAATTAATTTCATTTTGATCCTTGAAAATATGCCAAGAATGGAATCTTAATTTTGGAATTATTTTTCTTGTTAGAAACTGAAATTATAGGAGTTTTTATGGCATTTCCCCCAGTCAGTATTTTACTTGGGGTAGGGGGCAGAACACTAGTCTTTTTTATTTTATTAGGAAGGAAAACCTTTAATGACAGAAATGTACAACTAAGTTTATTTTTAGAGGCCTGCTTTATTCAATTCTTTGGCTCTGCATTCAACCATTTCTTATAGATCAATCATCAAAGCTATGTGACTTTTACCTAAGAGTTGTTTTAAAATAAACAGAATTTATGCCTTTCAAAATGTTTTCTGTGTCAGTTAACTCAGTATAATTTTATTTAACTAATCTTTTAAAAAAATATATTTCTACTAGAAGCCCAGTGCACAAAATTTTGTGCACTGGGTATGTGTGTGTGGGGGAGGGGGGTCCCTCAGCCTGGCCTGCGCCCTTTCGCAGTCCAGGAGCCCTTGAGGGGATGTCCAACTGTGGCTTAGGCCTGTGGGGAGTGGGCCTAAGCTGCAGTCGGACATCCTTAGCACTGCTGCAGAGGCAGGCTTGGCTCCCACCACCGCAGCTGTGCTTGCCAGCTGTCAGCCTGGCTTGTGGCTGAGCGAAGCTCCCCCTATGGGAGTGCACTGAACACCAGGGGGCAGTTCCTGTGTTGAGCGTCTGCCACCTGGTGGTCAGTGCGCATCATAGCGACCAGTCATTCCAGCGACTGGTGTTCTGCCGTTTGGTCAATTTGGGTATTACCCTTTTATTATATAGGATTGATTTTAGAGAAAGGGAGAGGGATAGAGAGATAGAAACATCAATGAGAGAGAAATATCAATCAGCTGCCTCCTGCACACCCCCTATTAGGGATCAAGCCCACAACCCAGGCATGTGTCCTGGTCAGGAATTGAACCTCAACCTCCTGATTCATGGGCCAACCACAGAGCCATGCTGGCTGAGCTAACTCAGTATAATTGACCTCTCATTCTCAAGTGCTATTGCAATATGAAAAGGGAAGTTGTAAATTGTTAAAAAGTAACTCAGTTAAATTTATGGTATTTCACCATTTGTTGGTAGGACTTTGTGCCATTGTATCAGGATTTTGAAAACTTCTATACAAGGAATCTCTACATGAGGATTAGAGACAACTGGAATCGACCAATCTGTAGTGTGCCTGGAGCCAGGATGGACATCATGGAGAGACAGTCTCATGATTACAACTGGTCATTCAGGTAAGTCTTGTTTGGGAAATTATTTCCTAACAACAAAAAAAGGAATTTTTTGACTTTTTAAAATATTCTATTGTAAATTTGACAGTATTTTGTCAAAACAGCAGTGGAAGCTGAAAATACAATATAATGTGATTAATTTCCTTGCATATTGTTCATTGTTATTGGGATGTTTAAAATACATTTTTGTATTAGTTTGATACTGTGTTGGGTTATAGTTGAAAGCAAAATTTGACCTAGTAAAACAAAACAAGCCCTAGCAGTTTTGCTCAATGGGTAGAGCATTGGCCTGTGGACTAAAGGGTCCCAGGTTTGATTCTGGTCAAGGGCACATGCCTGGGTTGCGGGCTCAATCCCCAGTAGGGGGCGTGCTGGAGGCAGCCAATCAATGATTTTCTCTCATTGATGTTTCTATTTCTTTCTCCCTTTCCCTTCCTCTCTGAAATCAATAAAAATATATTTTAAAAAGACAACAACAACAAAAAAACAACACAAAGAAAAACTGTCCTTTCTATTATACTACTTACCAGAATCAAGTATCTGAATTTATTTCTGGATATTTTGATTTCTCAAATGATTCAAGGATATGTAGAGGGTTTTTACTTAAATGGGTTCAATAGTTTAGAAAACTTTATAAAATTTTATTTTGTTTAGATTGCTCAAGTATTACATGATTGCATTGCTATTAAAAAAAAAAAAAAAGACAAGCAATAAAGATAAATTGAAAGTCCCCATGAGAACTAACCACTATCCCTTTGCAAATCCACTGCCCTACTAATCCTCACTCCCCAGAGGTAACCATTGTTATCAGTTTGTAGTGTGTTATTCCGCCAGGTGTTTTCTGTGGGATATGTATATAATGTATCTAGTAGGGTTACACACAGTTTTTGATTTACAAAAATGGCATCATACTATAGAAATGATACTGCATCTTGTTTTTTTTACTTGCTAACGTATCAGTAACATCTTTGTGTATATTCACAGCAAGCTCATTATTTGTAGTGGCTACTTAGTATTCTACAATTTTGATGTATATAGTATACACATGCAGGTTGGGCTGCATCATCCTGTGTTAAAAACTCCAAAATCTCAAGTTAAAAGATTGGCAATTTATTTCTTGTTCATACTTCATGTCCATCTTAAGTTGGATGTGCCTCTGAACCATGTCGTCTTCACTTGAGGGGTCAGACTGTCTGAGCTTCCACAATTAGGAATGTCACTGGTTTGTGTGCCTGAGAAAGAGACGTGGTCACAATTGTATTGTGACTCTTTTTTTTCCTTTGGTTAATCCTCACTGGAGGATATCTTTTAATGAATAAGTACTGTCAAACTGCCTTCCAAAAAAAAGTACTCTGATATTCTTTTTTTTTTTTAAATATATTTTATTGATTTTTTACAGAGAGGAAGGGAAAGGGATAGAGAGTTAGGAACATCAATGAGAGAGAAACATCGGTCAGCTCCCTCCTGCACACCACCTACTGGGGATGTGCCCGCAACCAAGGTACATGCCCTTGACTGGAATCGAACCTGGGACCCTTCAGTCCGCTGGCCAACGCTCTATCCACTGAACCAAACCGGTTAGGGCAGTACTCTGATATTCTTATCTACAGTGTATGAAATAGTCCTGACCAATGCTGGCTATGGTCAGTTTTTAAATCTTTATCATTATTGATAAGCAAAAATTGGTATTTTAACTTTCATTTCATTTATTGGTAGTGAGTTTGAGCTATTTTTCATTTAGACCATATACTCTCTGTTTCTTATATATATTGCTTCCTTTGGTATTACCAATACATTTATTATCATATGTAAGTGTTTGACCATGTTCATGGGTTTCATGAACATTCATCCTATTGAAATACAGGTACACAGGGAATACGATTAAAGGTGTTATAAACATGGGTTCCTACAACTATCTTGGATTTGCACGAAATACTGGATCATGTCAGGAGGCAGCTGCCAAAGTCCTAGAGGAGTATGGAGTTGGCGTGTGCAGCACTCGGCAGGAAATTGGTGAGTATAGTCTGTTGGGCTAGCTTATGTTCTTAACTTTTTTACTCAGGAGGGAGTAATATGGATAGAGTGCTAGAATATTAAGTGTCCAAATACATACTTTGCCATGTAGTTTAGATCAGATAAAGAATGCTTTATTTTTCTGAATTGATGGATGATTTTAATGCTTTCAACACATTTTGAGATGTATTTTTCTTTTCCATTATGTTATACATACAGAGTATGTTCAGTACTATTGTTTCATTTATAACTTTAGTGTTGACTTTATTTTATTTTATTTTTTTGTGTGTGTGTTGACTTTATTGACTTTTGCAAATGATAGTTCATTAAAGAGCACCACTTCATATCTGAGCCTGTGAGCATATGAAAGTTAATCTATTTCCCTACTGGTAATTTGGGGCTAATAATAATTCCTACCTTATAGGATTGTTTTAAGAAGCTAATTCATGTAAAGTGCTTGTAACATGGTAAATACTCATTAAATGCTAATTCTTTTTATTAGTAGTACAAGTCTATAAAATGTAAAAGAGAACAGATTTATGTAAAGAGATTTAATTAGTTAAAAGGAAAATTTCAAATTCTTCATTTTGTTCTAGTGACTGATAACCATAGAAGTTATAAGGCATCAGTCTGGATATTTATTACTGTGAAGCACATCAAAACTTAGTGGATTAAAACAATTCAGCACGGCCAGTGTGGCTTAGTGGTTGAGCATGGGCCCATGAACCAGGAGGTCATGGTTTGATTCCCAGTCAGGGCACATACTCGGGTTGTGGGCTCAATCCCCAGTAGGGGGCATGCAAGAGTCAGCCAATCAATGATTCTCTCATCATTGTTGTATCTATCTTTACCTTTCTCTTCCTCTCTCTGATTAAATAACGAATAAAAAACAATTCATTGTTATTCTCATGGGTCTAGAGCAGGGGTCCTCAAACTTTTTAAACAGGGGGCCAGTTCACTGTCCCTCAGACCATTGGAGGGCTGGACTATAGTTTAAAAAAAAACTATGAAAAATTCCTATGCACACTGCACATATCTTATTTTGAAGTAAAAAAACAAAACGGGAACAAATATAATATTTGTATTTGCATGTGGCCCGCGGGCTGTAGTTTGAGGACCCCTGGTCTAGAGATTGGCAAATACAGCTGGGTTGTTTTCACTTAGGGTCCCTAATGATGTGGTTAAGGGAGCATTAACAACATATAGAAATCACACATCTTTATGGCAGTTTATATTTTATAAAGTACTTTTTCATAAAGTGCAGGCCAAGGTCAACTAATGCCTGTCTTCTGCCTGGGGACACCCAGCATGAGCTACAAAGCAATCTGCAGATGGCTGCTACTTATGCTGGGCTTGGAGTGCAGCAAGGCAAAGCTGCAAACCAAGGCTGGCTGCTGCTAGTGCTGGGCCTGGGGCCACTTAGTGAGAACAACAGGGCATGCTGAGGCCAGATGCTGCTTGTTTGAGAGATTTTAGGAAAATCTGAAGCACAAGCCAAAACAGGCTATTCGTTTGGAAAAGCAACTGGAAACAGTTTGGGTGGACCCACAGTTGGGTGGGATGGGGGTCTCAGGGAATCACCAGGGCCAGGAGAACAGTGTCAGCCAGGTTCATGGAGACTCAAATACGGTGCACATCTACCAGTTCTGTGGGTGGGGCATGAGAAGGGTCTCAAAAAAGGAACTATGGCATCTGCCCCTCCAGACAGTTCAGTTCCTCCCTTTGTTTCCCTGGTGCCTTTTGAGCTGCTGCCCCAATGCTGGAACCCAGAGGGAATGAGTCAGAGCAAGTCTACGCATAGACCCTTTAAGAGAAACTGCCTAGGACTCCAGCAGCCCTCCATCTCACTCAGCCACAGTCAACGCTGGTTTTTACGCCCAGAAATTATGTGGACTTCTCTTCCTGGCACTGGAACCCTGGGCTGGGAAGCTGGGTTGGGGGCTGGGACCCCTCACTTCTCAGAGGGGACCTCCACAGCTGAGATATCCCTCCTGATTTTTTAAAAAAATTTTTATTGTTTAAAGTACAGGTAATCCTCAGGTTACGTCGGACTCGATGTAGGTTGTTACGTGGTTACGTCGCCATCTCCCATTTACAGCATTTATAAAAAAAAAAGTTCCGTCATTTTGACGTATGTACATATGCGCTTTATGTTTTTTATTATTTATTTACCACAAGTAAAGGTCAGAAATTGGTATCTTTCTTTTAAATTTTTTTTACTGTTTCACTTCATTACTGCTGTGTATGTGCTCCATGTGAGTGATGTAGGTGCTTATGTAGGTGGATTCTGACTTACGGCGAAAATCGCGTTACATTGCCCCGTAGGAACGGATCTCCAACGTAACCCGAGGACCTACTGTATTACATATGTCTCCTTTTTCCCCCCATTGACCTCTCCCCGGCTATTCCCACTCCCTAGCACATGACCTCACCCCCCCCTACTCTCTGTGTCCATGGATTATGCTTATATGCATGCATACAAGTCCTTTGGTTGCTCTCTTAAACCCCACCCCCTACCCCCCCACCCGCCTTCCCTCTAAGGTTGGACAGTCTGTTCAGTGCTTCTATGTCTCTGGATCTATTTTTGTTCATCAGTTTATGTTGTTCATTATATTCCACAAATAAGTGAGATCATGTGATATTTTTCTTTCTCCAATTGGCTTATTTCGCTTAGCATAATGCTCTCCAGGTCCATCTATGCTGTTGCAAATGGTAAGAGTTTTTTCTTTTTTTTACAGCCTTGTAGTGTTCCATTGTGTAAATGTACCAGTTTTTTAATCCACTCATCTGCTGATGGGCACTTAGGCTGTTTCCAAATCTTAGCTAGTGTAAATTGTGCTGCTATGAACATAGGAGTGCATATATCCTTTCTTTTTTTTTTTTTTAATATATTTTATTGATTTTTTACAGAGAGGAAGGGAGAGAGATAGAGAGCTAGAAACATCGATGAGAGAGAAACATCGATCAGCTGCCTCCTGCACATCTCCCACTGGGGATGTGCCCGCAACCCAGGTACATGCCCTTGACCGGAATCGAACCTGGGACCCTTCAGTCCACAGGCCGACGCTCTATCCACTGAGCCAAACCGGTTTCGGCCATATATCCTTTCTGATTGGTGTTTCTGATTCCTTGGGATATATTCCTAGAAGTGGGATTACTGGGTCAAATGGGAGTTCCATTTTTAATTTTTTGAGGAAACTCCATACTGTTTTTCACAGTGGCTACACCAGTCTGCATTCCCACCAGCAGTCTTCCTGATTTCTTATCCGCCACACATGAGTGTGGGACCCGGCCATTCCTTGTTTCCACCCCTCCAACCAGTTCAATGTGGCTTTTTTTTATATTCTTAGTTGTAGGTCTTTCCTTCAGCTAGATTTCAGGCAGTAAAGTAATGAATGATTCTTAAATTTTGGGTTTGGTGATATTGACTTCATTAACTTCTTCACACAGGTAACCTGGACAAGCATGAAGAACTAGAAAAGCTTGTGGCAAGTTTCTTGGGAGTAGAAGCTGCTATGGCATATGGCATGGGATTTGCAACAAATTCAATGAACATTCCTGCTCTTGTTAGCAAAGTAAGACTTAGTTTGTCATTAATGAAAACTCCCTTATATATATCATATTTTGTTTTATAAAACATTCAGAGCAAGCCAGAAACTATTATAAATTTAGGTTAAATATAGTCTGCCCAAAGATATTTCTATCACAAACTTTTGGATAAGTATATACCATAGAGACTTACATCAATTGAAGCTTTCTTATTAGAACCCACAATCCCTTCCTCTCCCATTAGATGACACTTGCCTTCTTCATTTCATACAGTTTTAAAGGGATTCTAATAAATAAAACCTTATAAATGGCTAAAATTATGGAAGAAAGAATGTTTCGTTTGGAAAGTTATTTAACAGGTAGTTTTTCCCCAAATAGAAAAATTTGAAAATATAAACTTGTTCTCAGAGTAATGTATATTACTGAAAGACATATGAGCAAATTATATGTGTGTCTATATATATGTTAGTAATAATGTACGTTAATAATGTGTGTAGAGCTTCTGTGAGGGGACAGTAGAAGAGAAGAGATGAGACATTGTAAATCACATTTTAGCAGTTCTTCAAAGGTTATTTATTCTCATTTTAATAGTGATCTGTGAATGGTATCTTGAAAAAATCATCAGTGCATTGAGTCAGAAGACTTGAGGTTTTTGTTTGTTTGTTTGTTTTTAATATATATTTTATTGATTTTTTTACAGAGAGGAAGGGAGAGGGATAGAGAGTTAGAAACATCGATGAGAGAGAAACATTGATCAGCTGCCTCCTGAACACCCCCCACTGGGGATGTGCCCACAACCAAGGTACATGCCCTTGACCGGAATCGAACCTGAGACCCTTGAGTCCACAGGCTGACGCTCTATCCACTGAGCAAAACCGGTTAGGGCAGAAGACTTGAGTTTTTGCTTGTTTGATTATATGGTCAAATTTAGCTGTGTGACTGAACAATGTCAAAACCTTTCTGAGCCTCAAATTTTCCTTTGTAAAATTAAGTACTTGAATTAGATTAACTCTAAAGTCCTTTTCAGTTATATAAATCCAGGGAACAGAAGAAAGAGAACAGAAAGCAAGAGGGGAAATTTAAACCTATATTGGCATTACATTAAATGGAAATGGTTTATACATTCCAAGTAAAAGACAGTGATTGTCAGATTAGATAAAATTTAGTATGTTTGTACCAGAAATCAACTTTAAAGACACAAGTAGGTTTAAGTAAAAGAATGGAAAAGATATAGCATGTAAATAATAATCAAAAGGAAGTTGGCGTGCTCTGGCCAGGTGACTCAGTTGGAGCATCATCCTGTACACCAAAAGGTGGCAGGTTTGATTCCTAGTCAGGGCACATACCCAGGTTGTGGGTTCAATCCCTGGTTGGGGTGCATGCAGGAGGCAACTGATCAAAGTTTCTCACATCAGTGTTTCTCTTCCTCTCTAAAAATCAATAAAAATTCAAGAAAAAACACACACAAAAATTGATAGAACTAGTATGAAAATCTAAGGAGATAGAACATTTGAAAAACACAATTAACCAACTTAACATTTATGAAACATTTCAGCCAGCAACAGCAAAACATTTACCAAGAGACCATTTTCTGGGCCATTAAACCAACCTTAACAAATTTAAAAGAATTGAAATTATTCAAAATACTAGAGGCCCGGTGCATGAAATTTGTGCAGTGGGTGTGTGTGTGCGCGCGCGCGCGCGCGCGCGTCCGTCCGTCCCTCAGCCCAGCCTGCACCCTCTCCAATCTGGGATCCCTCTCACAATCCAGGACTGCTGGCTCCCAACCGCTCGCCTGCCTGCCTGCCTGATTGCTCCTAACTGCTTCTGCCTGCCAGCCTGTTCACCCCCTAACCACTCCCCTGCCAGCCTGATTGATGCCTCACTGCTTTCCTCCCGGCCCAGTTGCCCCTAACTGCCCTCCCCTGCTGGCCTGGGCACCCCTAACTATCCTCCCCTCCAGGCCTGGTCCCCCCCAACTGCCCTCCCCTGCTGGCCTGGTCGCCCCTAACTGCTCTCCCCTGCAGGCCTGGGTCCCCCCCAACTGCTTTCCTCTGCAGGCCCGGTCACCGCTAACTGCCCTCCCCTGCTGGCCTGATCGCCCACAACTGCCCTCCCCTGCTGGCCATCTTTGACCACATGGGGGTGGCCATCTTGTGTGTTGGAGTGATGGTTAATTTGCATATTACCTTTATTAGATAGTACGTTCTCTAACCATAATGGAATTGACTTAGAAATCAGTAACACAAAGAAAGATACCTGGAAAATCCTCAAATAATTGAAAAGTAAATGACACACTTTTAAATAACCCAGGCTCAAAGAAAGGCAAAATTGAAAATACTTGAACTAACTGGAAATGTAATATAATTTGTGGGAGGAAGCTAAAGCCATGCTCAGATGGAAATATATAGCATTAAATGCTTATATTAGGGGGGAAAAAAGAGTTTTGAATCAGCCATCTAAATTCCTACCACATGAAATTAGGAAAAGAAAAGAGCAAATTAAACCCAAAGATTTCAGAGGAAGGATACAATAAAGGTAAATGCAGAAATCAGTGAATTAGAAAATAGACAATAGGTGAAATCAGTGAAACCAAACTGATTCTTTGAGAAAATGAATGCAGTTGATAGATCTCTAGTCAGACTGGTCAGGATAAAAAGAGAGGAGACAAAAATTACTAGTAGTAGGCATGAAAGAAGCTACTTCACTACATATCCTATGGACATTAAAAGGATATAAGGAAATATTAAGAACAACTTCATGCTAGTAAATTCAACAACTTAGCTACAATGGACAAATTTCTTGAGAAAAAAATAAATGTATGATTCTTTGATTATAGTACATTTTAGCATCATAAACTTGAGATTCTTATTTGGAATTTCGTAGAATTTTTTACACTAAAGGGTTAAATAATTTCATTTTGCTTCTCCTGTGTGTTCACAAACTAACAATCACTATCTAGAATTAGATGTCTTATATACAGATGTGGAAGATACTACCTTAAACATTTATTGTGCAAATCAAATATTATAGTTGAAATGTTATGAAATATATTTTAATCTATTCAAGGCAACAACGAATCCAGTTTTACTCTTTCTTTAAGACTTATATTACATTTCAGTATGAGGTGATCAGTAATTCAGCTTAAAGTCAGAGGCAGACAGTATATTGACTAAGAGCATGTATTCTAAAAGCAGAAGCTTTGTATGAGACACTTAAATGCTATGACCTTGGGCAAGATTTGTAATTCCTTAGTTCCCACATGTAAAGTGGGGATAATAATAATAGTTCTTACCTCACAGATTGTTGTGAGGATTAAAGGTAACTATGTGTTTACAACCCTTAATATAATGCCTGAAACATATTAAGCATTTAGATGTTAACTGCTGGCATTTAATTTTTATTTTTGCACAAATAACATAATAGACCCTCATAGTATATTAGAAGAAAAAATAGGTTGATACACAGAAATGGTGAATTAGGCTGTCTAAAAAGGAGATGATAAACAAAAAGAACAAAATTATATTGCTGATTTTGCAAAAAAGAAAAATTAAATGGAAAAATAAAATTGCATTCTTTTTAAGGAACAGTGGAATGCCAAGAGTGGTTAAGGAAAGGATTTAAAGACTTGCAGAAGAGGAATTCAGCTTCTCCATTTTTTCCCCCAATTTTTCTCATTTTTTTCAATTTTAACACTTTTTTTCAGAGATAAATTTAGACTTACAGAAGAGTTGCAAGAGAGTATAGAGCGTTCTGGGTACCTTTCATTCAGCTTCCCTTTATGTTAATATTTTACATAACAGTGGAACCATTTACCAAAACTAAAAAACTAACTTTGATTCAATACTACTAACTAAAGAACAGAACTTGTTTCAGTTTCACCAGTTTTCCCACTGATAACCATTTTCCTGTTCCAGAATCCAATCGAGTATCTTCATTGCATTGAGTTCTTGTCTTTCCTAGCCTTGACTCTTCTGAAGGAAGTGTTGTTGCTTCTTCCCTATTTATTTATATCAGTATGGGTTCATGAATATTTTATTATTTGGGTTCAACATGATTACTTTTAATTTTGTTGCTCAAGTTGATCCAGTTTTGGCCATTAGTAGATCTTTCAGGTGGGCTCCTGTGCCCTTTGAATATGCCCCATTTTTTTTTTCTAAAGCACTTTCTTTGCAGCATAACAAGATGCCCCAGGCCCGTGGTCGGCAAACTGCAGCTCTTGAGCCACATGCGGCTCTTTGGCCCCTTGAGTGTGGCTCTTCCTAAGCCTTAGGAGTACCCTAATTAAGTTAATAACAATGTACCTACCTATATAGTTTAAGTTTAAAAAATTTGGCTCTCAAAAGAAATTTCAGTCGTTGTACTGTTGATATTTGGCTCTGTTGACTAATGAGTTTGCCGACCACTACCCCAGGCTCTTTTTACCTATCCTAACCTTGGGGTCAATCACTAAGTTCTCCATTGAGCCCTGGTTCCTTTTATTGGAGGATTGTATTTAGAAACCAAGATTTGGTGTGTTCATTGTCTCTCAGTGAATAGAGCTAGAAAAATAAAAACATGTATACTAACTCATGCATAAACATATCGATTAGTGTGCATGTGTATAGATATAAATTTTAAAAACTATTAGTCCATATGGGTATTTCCAACTCTACTTCTCTTTATTTTTAATCTACACATTTTTAATGAAAGAGCTTTTTAAAATCTTAATAATGAAAACTTTATATACAGTAAAAATTTCAGGCAGACAATTGCTATTGCAAGTTCATAAGTATCCATCCAGGAATACTCTTCCTTTTATTCTGGGAGCACGCTGACACTTTCTGCTCCTTACTTTTTTCATCTAATCGGGTATTTTGAAGGCCATTGTTGACAGAGAAAAACCTGTTTCTGAGTTCAGACTTTATAGGTTGGAACCTGCAGGAGATGTGGAAGAGTAAGAACTGGGGAAGAAATAGAAATTCTGAGAGCTTCAGATGTTTCTTGTTGCCTTAACAGAAACCCATGTTTACATGGATTTACAGAAAAACTTGTTCAGAGATTTTAAGGGCAAAACTAAGCCTACACTCTGTGTGATTTTGGGAATCCTATCTAATAATAGACAAACATGGTAATTGACTGTACCTTCGCTACGCCTCCCATTGGCTAATCAGCGTGATATGCAAATTAACCACCAACAAAGATGGCGGCTAATTTGCATACTGCAGGCAGGGCAGGACAGCGCCATCCCGCCTCCCCACTGCCATCTGGGCCTGCTATTTGCGACCTGGGGTGGCGGGCGGCCAGGTGGTGCAGCAGCGATCTGCCGGGCGTCCCGTGTGCGACCCAACCCGGGGCGGCACCCCAACCCCCGGATCAGCCCTGCCGTGTGCACGACCCAGGGAGGCGGGGCAGGCACCGAGGTTTCAGGCCTGCCATCTGCCACCCGGGGAGCAGGCCTAAGCCAGCAGGTGGTTATCTCCCAAGGGGTCCCAGACTGTGAGAGGGCACAAGTGGGGCTGAGGGACACCCCCCCACACCCCCCTCCCCTGCCAGTGCACAAATTTTTGTGCACCGGGCCTCTAGTCCTATATAATAAAGAGCTAATGTGCTAATTAGACCAAACAGCAGAATGACCGTCAGGAGGACCTTCAGGACAAAGCTGGGGCTGCGAGGGCCTACCCTTGCTTGAATTTTGTGCATCGAGCCTCTAGTTATATTAATAAGTGGGATTGTTATTGAACTCTGGATGGTTAGGAGTGGGAGGAAGAATGCACTGTTTCCACAAGCATTACTTCCTCAGCTGCCTTCTCCCCCACACACTTTTTCTGTGAGTAAAATAGTACATCATACCAAACTCATGAAATGACATCAAACCAACAAAATTGAAACTCTATGAAGACTATCTGGTATATCAGATTTTAAGTATAAATAAAAAACCTATTGCTATATATCTGGGTATTTATGTCCATCTCAGGAATGAAGACGTTAAAAGGCTAGAATTTTGCATCTACTTCTAAATTAATTTTTTTGGGGGAAAAAACCAACTATACTTTATTTCTTCCTGAAATTGATAGTTTGCTGTTATACAAGCTTTCCTTAATAGGCTATAATTATTAATGATTTTAGCATTTGATCTTTTGTGTAATGAAACCTCACCTGCCTCCACCCCAGCTTCTTACTTCCTGTGCTTGTGGTTTTGCAGGGTTGCTTGATTCTGAGTGATGAACTGAACCATGCATCACTGGTTCTGGGAGCCCGACTCTCAGGAGCAACCATTCGAGTCTTCAAACACAACAGTGAGTTTGTTGTGGAGGTCTTAGTGTTTAGTATTCCTTGGATTTGTGGCAGTGGTTATATTAATAATAGAAAATATAAATGAAGATGAAATAGCAACATTTAAAATGTTTTTCTGAGCCCGGGCTGGATAGCTCAGTTGGTTAGAGCATTGTCTCTATACGCCAAGGTTGTGGGTTTGATTCTCCGGTCAGGGCACATACAAGAATCAACCAATGAATGCGTAAATAAGTGGAACAACAAATCTCTCTCCCTCCCTTCTTCCCTCCCTTCTCCCTTCGAAAGCCAAAACTTTCTTCCTAAATGGAAATGTGTTGTGTATTATTAAAATATTTATTTGCAATAAAAATGCATAACTTTTGTAGTTAAAACATTCACATGTAGAGAAGAAAGATTACCAACTGTATTTTTAATATCATCTTTTACCAAAGTGAGTACATGTACAAACAAGTCTAGAAGAATATACACCAAAATAGTAGGTCTGTGCTCCTGGTTGGAAGGTTAGAGATGGTAATAACTTCCTGCCTTTTGTCTTTGTCTTGTCTAAAATGTTTTACAAGAAGAATGATGCAAATAGCATTTTGTTTTATGTAAATGGGACTTATTAAACACCACTGTGGAACCTGCTCTTTTCTTACAACACATCGGGAACTTTGGCAATACATGTGACTCTCCTCCTCCCCTAATGTCAGGGTGGCGGGCAGTGTCTGGAAGTGCCCTTATTCAGACTGTCTCTCAGTTTGGACATCGAGGTTGTTTCTAAAATTTTCTACTAGAAACGGTACTACCTGTTACCCACATTTTTGCTCAATGGTGTGATTAGTGCCTTGGGATGAATTCCTAGCAGTCTTAGAATGCCTGGTTAAAAGGGCACACATATTTTTGTACTTTTCCAAATTGCCTCCAAGCATTGTACAGATTTTTACTCAACAACATGACAGTGACTCACAAGCCAACTTAGGCCATTATGAAACATTTTAAAACTTCCCTTCTCTAATAATCAACATGTTAATTTTATTTCTTTAATTATTAGGTGTCAAGCAACTTTTTATACAGTATTGTGTTTGAATTTCTTTGTAAATTGGCCATTTTCAAATGTTTTCTCTTTTTTACTGATTATAAGAGCCCTTCCTATTTTCTTTGATATTGCATTATTTTTTATTTTACTTTTAACTTTGTTTTTAGTTTGTTGCTGTGCAAACTTATTAAAATACTTATGTTGTCACATTTATTATCTTGTGACTTGGATTTTGTGTTAATACCTTCCATATTTTAAGATAATAGGGTTATTCTCTTATTTTCTTCTGGTAGTTTTGTGGTGTTTTTTATTTACATCTTTATTCTTACATGGGATTTGTGAAGTATAAGAGAGATACTAGATTTTTCTCCCTAAGTTGATAATATGGTTAAGCATTCTACAGATATTTCCTTTCATCTAAAATTTTGAATCAGTATTTATTTTTCTCCTCTTTTCTGTATGTAAACAGAGGAAACTAAAACAATGACTACATTTTTACTGGCTCTTGCTGATTGCCAGATGCTGCCCTCTGCAGCAGGACTAGCCTCTTCAACACTTCTGGGACAGCATCTCCTGTCTCTGGGTCAGGTAGCAGACAGATTGTGTTCTTATGAATAACTGAAGGTGTCAACACAATCACAATCTACGGCCATCTTATCTGTTTGTGGTGTTTTTATTATTTCTCTTTTCTACCGAAGTCCTTTCTATAAAAAGAGCAAAATCATGTAATTTTGTAACACCCTCCTTCAGTGAGGAGCAATAAAGACTATAAAATCAGATTTTATCATGGCTTGCTTCCCACCCTTGTTAAATACACTGCAGACTTCATGTTACAGTTTTCTTGAGGTGTTTTTTTTTTTTTTTTTTGGAGTGGGGTTTCTTAAGGGCAGTGTTTCAGGGCAAAAAAATTTAAATAAGAAGTCGATAGTGGCAGCAAAAATGGTCTTCAAAGCATTTATCTTTAACAGGAAAATTATGACCCTTATTAGTGGTAGTACTAGCCACGTTGTTTCCTAGACCTGTTAACCATCTTAAGAACCAACAGAGCCACAAGAACTTGGTTGTGTACAGATAGCAGATCAAATCAAACAGAAACCATCTCAACTGATTGCCAAGCTTGCTTAACACGGAGATTCATGCATTTAGGAATTTATTCTATAGCACTAACCAGACTACTGTATTTTTAACCCACTACTAAGATAAAGTTATTTAACAAGCATTTATCAAGAATATCTTCTGTGAAAGGAAGTGGGCATGTACTTTGAAGTTTTCCCCCATATTTGATTTTTAGGAGGTGTATGTATTTATAGTGGTTTCCATACTCTTGCTCGGTCTTCTTTATGCATTATTTCTGAATGACTCACTAGGATTAAAGATACAGTTGATTTTATAAATACAAAAAAAGCTAACTGAATGGCCAGGTATTTAACATGAAACATTGGTAATTTCATAAGCCTGCTAACCACCTGACTCAACTGTGCCACAGTCATTTGTTGAGCTTCTGTGACTTTGAACATTTGTTACATTTCAGACGAGATTTTAATTCAAGATAGCAGTAGCTCACTCATTTTGCTCCATCTTTTTCTGCCCTGTTCTGACTTCGTTAATGTCCTTTGCTGTCTGAGACAGTCTTCCTAAATAAGAAATGTTTATTTGCATTTCTGGAATAAAGTTAGGAAAGAGGAAAGTACTTTATGCTGACATCTTTTTGTGTGTGCTATAGACATGCAGAGCCTAGAGAAGCTATTGAAAGATGCCATTGTCTGTGGTCAGCCTCGGACACGAAGGCCCTGGAAGAAGATTCTAATCCTTGTGGAGGGAATATATAGGTAATCCTGCTTTATGATTCTAATCTTTCTGATTTGGTTCCATGAAGTCTTAGAATTTTTCAGCCTTACTTCGTTTTCAAGGGAACACTAATTAGACCCCTCTGGAAACTAAGGAGACAGTGTTTTTGACTTGTTAAAGTACCTGGAAGCAGAGTTAGCTCTAGGACAAAAGTCTTTTTGTCTGGCTTTTAATCTTTCCATCATGCTACATGGTCCTCAAATCTCCCTTCTATTTGGATCCTTTATTTTTCTGTTTATAGAGGGAATTTGTATATAGGTCAAGAATTGAAATATGTTTTCTAATATGTCAAAACAAGTTACACACCGTTTAATGTTAAGAAATTTTTATTTTATCTATTTGCAGCCCTTCCACTTATTTTCTTACTTCCTAATGTTTTTTAATTCTTTCTGTAGAATTTCAATTGCATACCTATGTGATGCAGAGTCTAATGTTGCCTATAATTACAAGCTTTAGAAGAATCTGCTGTGACTTTTATTCCTCTGTAGTGAATTAAGATTAATTGTGTTCTAGTACTTGTTTTAAAAGATCCAGTCTAGCCATGGCATCATTTGATTTTGCCAGTTTAAAACCACAGGCAGAGTTGTTAGACTATTTCAAATAGCAGTAAAATTCAGAAATTAATAAAGTGGCCAGCTCCTAATTTTGAGAGTTAAGAAGTCTCAGTGTATGTATTGTTTACTCTGTTTTGCCAGCATGGAGGGATCCATTGTTCGCCTTCCTGAGGTGATTGCCCTTAAGAAGAAATACAAGGCATACCTGTATCTTGATGAAGCCCACAGCATCGGGGCTCTGGGCCCTGCGGGGCGAGGTGTGGTAGATTACTTTGGCCTGGATCCTGAGGATGTGGACGTTATGATGGGAACATTTACCAAGAGCTTTGGTGCTTCTGGAGGATACATTGGAGGGAAGAAGGTAAATGGGCTGTGATTATTGAGCAGTTAAGAATAAAGGCACTGGCTACTAGGTTTGGTAAGTCATGTCTAATAGCTTCCAAACTGGGATGCGAGATCCTGAATTTGTGGGTTAGGCTCATGGTGCCAGCGGGTTCACACTTCAGCTGCCTGGTGAGTGACTGAGGCATTGAAGGCTCGTTCTGTTCATTGTTTGTTGTTTTCTTCTTTGAGCTTCGTTCTAAACTACATGCTGGTTTGAGATATAGAATACCCTCTTGTATGAAAGAACACACAGTGGTGCTGCCTGTTCGCCACACTCTTTTGCTGGGTTTGAGTTGTGCTCAGTTTCAAAGTAGTGGGGTTGTCATGGGAGCTGATGGGAATAAAAGGCCAAGTTCCTTGCCCTTAGACTTAAATGCATCTTGGGTGAACATAAAGACAGGAAGAAAAAAGATTATTTTGTTAGCTCTGGTGTATTATAAGGCTTTGTTTTTTTATTTTGTTTTGTGGGTTTTTGTGTTTTTGGTTTTTCAATTTAAAAATCATATACTGACCTCTAAGCCATTTGAGGCGTGTGGCATGGTAAAAATGTTTGAACCATGGAGACAGAGGCCTGGGTTTGATTATTTCCTTAATTTTGTGAGACCTTGGACAAAGCATTTAACTTTTCAATTTCCTTATCAGTAAAACAGAGGTAAATATGCTGGCTTATAAGATTGTAGTAAGGGTTTAAGAAATAATGTATGTTCATGCTGCAACATGGATGAACCTTGAAAGCTTTATGTTAAGTTAAAGAAGGAAGTCACAAAAGGTCACATGTTATATTATTTCTTCAACTAGAGGCCCGGTGCACAAAAATTTGTGCACTGGAGGGGGGGGGGGCCCCCCAGCCCCGCCCGGGCCCC